GGCTTCAGTGGGTTCATACCTCAGCTACAAGTCTGATTCTGTTTCTGAATAGGATTTCCTTTCCTCCCACCTGGAGCTTAGGCTTGCTGTCTTTAGTGTTGTAGTCAGAAACTGTGTTCATGAGTCCATCATAAATGAGATGAAATCCTGGAAATCTGGACACTAAGGCTGCATAGATCATGAAAAAAAAAAATACACACACTCTCTTCAGTGTCATAGACTGAGTTATGACAAGAGCAGACCACGGCTTGACAGATCTGGTGATCACACGGAGAGGATGTTGCAGTACCAGAACAACAGGAGTGTGCTGCTGTAATGTATACTGTGTTGCAGCTAGACATTTACCTTGCATACCTTGCACCACTAACTTTTTGCCTTTATGTGACTTGACAATACAGATGTAACGAGTAAAGAGCAGCTGAGCACTGTGCTGTTTGAATGCTTGCACACCTATACTACCTTCAAGGAAAAAGTGCACAGAGGGTTGCCGGGAGGCCCCACATGTCACTCAGCTTGCCATACATGTTAGAGAGATGAAGGCCTGTAAATGGCTGCCAGTAATCTTTCTTACAGAAGAGCAGCCCCGTCCAGAACCAGTTGGAAATATGGCTGCTGTGCTTGGCCTCCATCCACTTCTTAACATTCAGCAAACAACTAGTAAGAGTGTATGTTTGAGTCTTTCTATGTGTGAATCTGTGTGTGTGTTGTTGCTTGTTTATGTGTGCAATAGTTGGCCTGGATGTGCACTCTGCTCTGGATAATTTCCAAGTCCAGTCTATATCGATACCCACCTCTGGAATGCACCTTTGCTCCTGGGAAATTTCACCTGAATTGCTTGCCCTTGTAATTGTGTGTGTGTGCGCACATGAGTTACCCAACTATAAACCTTACCACTGTGTCTAATGGGCCTATTACAAGACATGAGCCCATGTCAAATAACACACAGTTCCACACTTAAAACATGAAGGCACAACCCACTAATAGAATGAGCTTTGTCATCATAGACACTGATGAGCTAGTTAGCACTTACTGGAGTGTAATTCTACCCCGAAGAGGACGGGGGAGATCACTCAGTATCCTACAAAGGACCTGCTCCTTGTGTTCGTGACTCATAAACGCTCCTATGTCTGGTTGGCTCTGAGGGAGACACTAGGTTGAGAGCTGTGTTTGTTTCTCTGTTGCAAGGCAATCCGCTGTAATCTACTTGGTCTTTGACATTATGATGTGTCACTGATGGGGATGCCCAGTGGAAAAGATGTCATATCTTTCACTGTAAAGGAAATATAACAGTTGAAGGTATCCAGAGTTTTTATTGTTGGCTCTGCTATCTTTTTATGGTTCCCTAACACACTGAAGTGTGAGATTCTTTGCTTTCGTTGCAGGGTCGAAGTTCAGTTGCACTGGGATCGGGCTGAGATGGGGTTGCAGATGATAATACGTCTGTTACAACACTTAGTGTTTTGACATACCAGATCTTATGCTTTGAGCAGGTCAAAGAGGTGTCAGGACTGTATCATAAGATGGATAAGAAAAGAACATGTCAGGTCCGCTCGGCGCGACCTGCCTCTCTTTCTTTTTCCCTCTCTGCTCTCCCTTTTTGCGGGATCAACGCCTCAGCTGTGTCGCATCGGGTAATTAGTGACTCGTGGGTCGGTGCGCACACCTGAGGCGTATTCCGGTGATTTGTTAGCTTCCTTATTTATACCTCTGGCAGACGCCCCGTCGTGGCCGGAGCATTGCGACATGTAATGGACAATACTGTGGCGCTCCACTGGTTCGGATGAGCGGAGCTGGCCTGACCCTATCCTAAACTGTGACATCTAACTATCCAGCTGTGTGCTGGCACCTAGGCTGACATTGAGGAGAACAACTTCTCTGTCTTTTCTTGGCTTTTATTGAACAGAATAAGAATGCAAAAAGGAAACTGCGATATACCTGGCACCATGTGCTCACAGGAAAAAGAAAATAGCAGAAAAAGAAAGCAGTAGCAACACTCCCTCAGGGAATTCCATGTTCCGCGCCAACTGTGATTCTCCTGACACACCCACCTGTTACCCCTCTTATACTTTCCCGTACCTGTTCCTCCCCCCATCCCACATTGGCCAGAACAGCGCGGCATTTCACAGAAAACAGCGGTAACCAATACATGTACATTATTCGAACATTACGGCTGCACCCACTTAATAACACGGAACAGAACATAAACATAAGCGGCTGGGCAGGGCCGCCACAATACTAACCCTATGTAAGTGACAAATGTTGTGTTTGACCCGCATATTTTTAGACGTGCGTAAGATGCTACGCTGACAGTCTCGGTGCGTTTTGGCTTGACCTTATCACGCTAATTATGCGGTTAGCAACACAGAAATACGTGCTTTGTCTTCCACGCTGACAGTCCCTGTGCTGTGGATTGCATTGTTTACGTTGGTTCTTTTTGTTCACCTGTCCGTTCTCATCCTCCTGCTATTCTAGTTCCTGTCGTTAGTTTGTGTGTTTACCGTCCTGGTCTCCTTAGTCATCACTGCCCTTCCCTTGTTGTATGTATTATGGACCCTGTTATGTTGTCATGTTGTTTTTATTCCATTAAACCCCCTTTTTTGTACTAGCACCTGGGTCAGCCATCTTGAGTCCAACCCCAGTTCTCCCTCACCCTCCTGGTGAGGGGGGCTAAACCATAACAGAACATCACAAAAGAGAGACATCTTAGGCATATTTAGGCAGAACAGGAAGAAAGTTTAAGGTTTTCATTTAGTCAGTATACTGATAGTGCCTGCCGGATCTGACCTGACAGGGTCTTCATTAAGTCAGGGATGATGATTAAATCCCTGTATCTATCTTATTAAAGATCTGCAGAATGTGAAAGGTTGCTTTATCCCTGAATTTGTTACGCTGTATTTTATAGGAATATTAGGATTTTGTCAATAAACCAAACCAGACAAAGTGACTTAGCAGTAAATTCTGAAATATTTTCATAATAAAGCCACTTTTCTTTCTGTCACTTTGAATTTCATTTTCTTCTTCCTTAATCTCCACCATGTTTGGTTTATTTTGATTGTAAAACAGATCTGAAACTACACTCAACTACAGTTTACCCAAAACAAAACCTTCCTGTTCCAGCTTTAAAAAATATTTGGGCTCACAAGGTCAAGATTCCTTATCATCTATTTCTATCCATGAAAATAGAAAGGAACAAACACAGACTTCATCCAGACTAAAAGGCACACTACAAATTACCCCAAGGCCATGCAGCTCCACCACATTCTTAAAAATCTCCCCCCCTTTTTTATGCTTCTGTCACTGGGAACTATGTGTGGCCTTGGGGCAAACAGGAGTCATCACCTCACTCAGAACACCTCCTCTCCACACTGTCTTTATGGCTAGATTTACTGTGCACCAACATCTATAAAACCATTTAACAGGGCTAATGTTGTTAGGCACACAGTTGCCAGTAAACATGTTGTCTAATAGATCATGCAGAAAAAAGGGGGGGTGAGAAAGAGAGAATTTCTTGTTGTTTTCATTTATCTATTCTGCCACTACACGAGTCCAGGGATTCTTCTTTTCTTTCCTCCCCAATTTAATTCATTTGTCCTCATTTATATACTGTAAATATTGTTATATCTTCTAGGCACCAGCTCTGTCTTACATCTCCATTACTCTTCTATGTCTGAAGTTCAAGTTTAGGATTGTTTTTCCTGCTTATTAATGTTGCTTAAAGCACAGTTTGCAAACATAGTCACTGAAACACACAAGACATTAAAATGCACTTCTTCACCTGACATGCCAATGTGCTCTGCCCTCTCACCTCTTCCTCTGACTCCCCATCTCACAGTGATTCACATGAAACGTGATTCATGCATTTCAGTGAGAATGCACATCTAGACCAGTGTTGTAACCATGACGACACTGTGGGACTGTTGCCAACCACACGGGGAGTCGTGATGAACCTGCCTGTCACCGGGCAGACTTACTCATTTTGCCATAACATCACAGACTCTAACACAGACGCGCTTACTCATTCAACGGTAAAGTGAGGAATAAGCGATTAGTACAGTGCAGTACATTTAAAACAGAGGCTTCAGTGCGTGTCACATAAATCGCTTTGAGAGAGGGAAATTTACCAAGAAAATATACCATTCATTTTACAGCTAGTACCATCCTAAGATGAACTTCACTGCCCTATTAGAACTGTTACATCAGTCTCCGTACCAGCTGCATCAGTTTCCAAACACAACGGCTTCACGCTGAATGGACAGTGTGGAGGGCCACCCACTTGGCTTCGTGCTGAAATTATCACCTTTGGCTGATAAACTGCACATGCACACCGTCGCTAGGTGCGTCTCTTTTATCAGGCTCTTCTTCCAGACCTCCCAACACAGCACAGCAGCGCCGCACAGCACCCAGCTTCCTCACAACAAGTTGGGACCAGTCTGTAACCTGCACTTAACTAGTTGCATTCTGTGCTCCATGCTCATGCACTCGGTGTCGGACAAGTGTCACCGTCTGTGTCACCATCGTTTTGATAAATGGGTTATTCTGCCTTAAACTTAAGCACAATGATAATCTTCATCATGAGGCATCATGAGTCACCATCATCATCGTTACCCTGATATTTTTCACTGGCGTTTTCCATTTTAGTTGGTTCAAACTGAATTAAATCCTGAAAATCATAAAACATTCTTAACGATAATATAAATATTTTTTGCCTTCATCTGTCTCTGATTCTTTAAGACTGAGGAATTAGAACAATATTTAATAATCATCTTCATCACGGGCCCCATTTGTCAGTTACGCATCCATTTCAATCACTGATAATCAATATCGATTACAGCCTGGATGTCTGAATGGGCTCTCTGCTGAAGGGCATACCTACACACGCGGGGTGAGGGGGGATGGGTACATGTTCTTAAGTCTTAAGTCATCCAACCAGCCAACCAGCTCCCCTCGCAAGGGGAGGCGCAACGGGCACGGAGCTGCTGGCTCTCTATATCCTGCGGCTCAGAGGCGCTCTGACTCCATTCAGTTCAGAGCCCTTCACGGCCAAGGAGCTGTGCAGACTGCTGCAAGACAGGCTCTGGATAGCACAACAAGGACAGCTTTCCCCTTGTGATTGTCTGAAAGGATCTGTTCGTATGGATTATATTCTTTTAGGACTATTAAATACTATAATTTAAAAATAGCCGTGCGTAATTCTGTATAAATATAACATTCTCCAAAAAGTGGGGTGCTGTGTTTCTTGTTTGATATTTCAGTAAACTGAACTGAGGTTTGAAGCCTGTTTGTTAGAGGGTGAAGGACAAGTGCAATATGTGTTAGAGTTGTCTCTTGGGATTGTTCCACTTGCGCCTGAGGAGCTATGTCGAGCTGCAGCACAGAACGCGTTCAAGAGGGCGCAGTCCAGTGTGAATAACAAGAGTCAACCTCCAGCCTCTTTAGTTCTTCTGAATTGCAAGTGCAGCACGGAGCCTGACTGAGCAGCTCTGACACCCAGGTTTCTCTCCTCGAGGGGATGGTTGTGGATCCTCTGGGGCCAGGAGCAACTCCGCGGCTCCTACAGAGCACCTTTTTCTTGTTTGAGGACTTTTCTAAATTAAAGGGAGATGAGAGCCGCACTTTGTTACTTCCTGCTGTGGACGACGTACCTGCTGCTGGCCACCGCTGAGGTAATGTTACCGGGACTCCGCACAGCCAGAGAGACAGGGGGCGGGAGAGACTGTGTCCCTCTGGCCCCATGTCTTACACACTGGTGCGGGTTTTTATCCCGTGAGGGGGGTAAAGGTCCCACCGAGCGCATGTTTCTCCAGCACTTACACATTATACAACAACTTGATGCCCAGAGAAGTTTTAATTTAAAGCATGGGAATAGTCTAGAGGATAAAAATTATGAGCACGCCGGTTACATCATTGAAAAATATTTTTGCATTTTAATTCATTTATAGGCGATTCAAACAGCTGCTTCTAAGAATATATAGGTCTAAATGTAGCTTGGAGAAAGAGGCTATTTTAAGAACAGTGTGAATAAATTCAGTGAACAAACAGCACATCAGCTTCAGTTACCCTGAGGGGCAGTGGCTGAGAGCTGTTGAGAACCACTATCGCTTCTGCACTTGGAACCATCGCAGTTATTTTTGGCTTTTGTGCCAAATCTGTTTGTAGACCGAGCCAACTGGGCAGACGTTTTGGTTGGGCTAAGCGCTTTCATGGGAACTGTTCACTCTTCTCTGGCTATATAAATAGCCACTGTTCCTGTAAGGCTGCACAATTTGATCGACTTGAGGTGCTTATTGGACCGCAACAAGTGCAAAGCGTGGCGAGCTGCCTGTTCACGAGAGTTAAGATTCGCGCTAGAGCCAAAATTCGTTCAGAAAAGAGACAGTTGTTGCTCATATCCGCATGGGAACAAGATTAGTAATTCAAGTTGCTTTGTGGTTTTAACGGAGACTTATTGGGTCTTATTTTTTAATTCGGCATTTAGTGGTTATACTGACACAATTACATTTTTACTGTAGGTTTCCCAAGCACATGAAATCTTATGCAATTATCTGGGTGCCGAAATAACCAGAGAATCCTATTCAAAAATGTTGTTATCCTCCAGGCATGCATGTGCTCCTTGACAGAGCATACTTGAATTGCTTAATTTCCCAAGGAGGTTCGCCAGCTTTTCTCCCTGTATCTGAGGGGACTGGGGCAGACCTGCTACCTAGTTGGCACATAGTTGCAAAATTGTTCAGACACCAGTCTTCCTGAGAGTTGTTTAAACGCAACAAGTTCATTTATACAGACAAACAATTACAGGAATGTCTTGCCACTGAGCCGACGCACCTCAAACTTTCCTCTCTTGTTTGATTTCTTTGCCCTCCGCCCCCTGAAGGAAGTGGAGTTTCCCCAGGAGCTGATAGACAGGCTGTCCCACAGTGAAATCCACAGCATCAGCGACCTCCAGCGGCTACTGGAGATTGACTCCGTAGGTAAATTCTGCCTCTTGATACTTTATCAGCTGAGTTAGGGCTATATTTTGAATTTTGATCCCCGATGTAACAACACATAGTAAAGGGTGGTACTGCTGTAACATGATTACACCAGTAGTGTATCTTTATTAGCTGTAAAGTTACAATCTCATGTGGAATTACCTTTAAAGATAGTCTTGGTAGTCGTCTGAAATTGCAAGGTACGGGGACTTTCCATTGATTTTGGCTTTAAAAGGCAACATGTGATAGCTTAAGGATAAGGTCAAATAACTACATTTATTCAAAGGTCATATCTAAATCGTTCACCAGGAAGGCTTTAACACTTGTGGTCCTTTAAAACTGCTGTATGAATAGATGAATCATCACTGTTTGATTCACCTGTGTGCAACAGCTGCAGAGGAAGGATCTGATGTTTGAGTGACACTGCGACTGTGGCATTCCTACAGGTTTAGTGGATTTATTAAACAAACTGAAGAATACATGCTGTTTTGGTGTGTTCTGGCAATTATAGTCAGCAGAGAATCAGTGAAGTTATGGCGCCCTGAAGTCAAGCTCAAAGAACAGTCCCCATGACTGGCAGCACTGTACAGGAAATTGCTGTGCAGGCCTCTGCCAAGTGTAGCCCTTGCGTGCATGATAAAATAGGACCCATGTTAGGAGGTGCATTTACTGTATGCATGTGACAAAGATGGACTTTCACTGGCAGGAATTTGTGTATATTCCTTTGGCTGCTGTTGTTTTATACTGGCTTTATAGCAACCAGAGTAAACAGAGAGAGCCACTCACAGGATTCAGACTTTTGGAGGTGCTGCTTCTTCTTTAGTGGTGGACCATTCTCTTTCTAGAGAATCACGCTGGATGAAGCAGAGCCTCTGTTTAACACAGGCTCTTGCCATATATCAAATTCAAGGCTCTTCTTTAAAGATTTGTTGATGGAAATAGGTAATTAACCAATTAGCTTTAAAAGTCCCAGATGATGTCCAGTATCTCACTGGTCAAACCGCATTAGTAACCTCAAAACTTATAGCCTGCAAAGCAACATCAGGACTGGTCTTTCACTCATGTATTCTTCCATATAACCACGTGATTCCTTTTCTGATGGACATATGAATTAGGACTAATAGCCTCACATCATTAGTGTGTTTAGTTGATTAATTCACGATCAAACCAACCTGCACTCCACAACAGTTATCACTCCATGTTATGCTGAGCCCAGAATAGATCATGGAGTGCCTCTAGCATGGGAAGAGGTGTTTATAATGAAATGAATGTGTCGTTCTTCAAGCAGAGAAATGCTGTGCAGGGTAACAGTATTAGTCTGATTATTATTATGAGGACATAAATCTGTCTGAGGGTGAACTGGTTGGCCCTGGCCAGCCCATTAAAATATTTTTGACACCAGCCAGAGGGGTATCTTCAGAACATTTGTTGTGGATGACCAAGACAGTAAATCTAGAAGTGTAGGCTGAACTGTACATGACATAGCATGTCACCAGGGGAGGAGAAAGGAAAGGCTACAATGTATTTATTGTTCTAGAAAGATTATGTGTGTGGTGATAATTCCCTCCTTTTAGTTGGTTATCAGGTTATCCTTGGTTGTCATTTTCCAAGATCTCAGTCACTGAAATTATTTTTTTTTTTTGGTCAGGGTGAGAGTGTCAGGACATTGAGAAGGCCTGCAGCGCTGTGTGTCATTTTGTGCTGCTTTCTGTGCAAGCTTGCATTTTTTGCATTGTGTTTGAATGTTTATATACACACATCTTGCGAGAATAGCATCTTCAGCTCTGACTGACAGATGAGATGACCCCACTGAAGTCTGCAGATGGCTGTTTGGCCCCTGAGCTGCCCCTCTCCTAGCTTTTCCTATTCTCCCCCCTTAGGCGGCCCCCTGGCTTGCCTGCTCTTATCTCTGTCAGGCAAGGACTTTGACAGACAAGAGAACCTGACTCTTGGCATGGGGCAAAGGTGGAAGAGGGAGCAGAGAGCACAGCAGTCGTATTCCTGCTATGCTTCACTCCGAAAGGCTGCAGGTTGTTGTGCAATCTGCTTTGTGTCTGACAAACTGGCAGCTTGTTTACCTCCTGTACACTTGGCAGCATTTCCTATGAAACAGCATCTTGAAAACCAAGTTTTTGTGCTTTCTAAATGCCTTTGCACCCACAGGGAGGACCTTTTGCCCATATGACCTACTTGTCACTCAGCCACGTAATTGCTGACAATAATACGACAAGGAGGAGGGACAGAAAGAATGAATTATAGAGACAGGAAGTCAACAAAATATTGACTATTTGAGTGGGAGAAAGAAAGATGAGGCTGGGAAAAGGGAGGACTTCAAGGCTCTTAGCTAATGGATAGAGTGATTTGCGAGTCATCAAAGCCTGATTCATGGCAGACACTGTCTCCCGTTTTTCTTTTCTCTTGTCTCAGTTTGACCAATGCTCCAGGCGTCGTCTTACTTCTTAGTCACCTGGAACTAGCAAAGGAGCAACCTCCTTTCTTTACTCCCCCATGTCGCCACCTTACTCTTTAACATGTTCTTATTCTACCTCTCTTTATTTCTTTATTTTTACATAATTTTTTTCTGCATCTCCCCCTGATCACTCTGATTACCTCCTTTTACACCCTATAAAGAGCTTCTGTATATCCTCCCTCAGCTTGACACAAAATGTTTTTGGGGAGCCACCATAGTGATGCCCTCCCTCACTCCTGTCCTCTTCTGACGGGGGGGATGAGGTATGGTAGAGTGAGAGCCAGCACAGTGGGAGTTCTGTCAGTGACCTGCAGTGCTAAAAGGTTGTTAGGTAGAAAAGTCAGTCAGCTGTCAAAGTGAGTCCAGGTGGAGGTGTGTGTCTGCACATATAGTATGTCTGGACTTGAGAGCACCTATACATGTATCTCTGTTTGTGGGTGTACTGGGCTGGCACACTGATTGTCCAGTCTTTTACTCAACTCTAATGCCTCGGTTGCAGTCAACACTTCCTTTCTGGGGACCCTTGGTTCTGGATCACTGGCTGACTGACTGCATGACGGGCTGGAAGGAAATTCCCCTAACTCTCACTGAAGGGTGGATATTGATGTTGAAACCTGACAAACCTGGAAAAAAAGGCAACCAAAAGCAAATAAACAACCAATCCCAAAGGTAGAACATGTATAGTTAGAGGAAATCCCTTCAGGTGACTGATCAGTGCACAAAGCGCTGGATGACTGGAATGTGTTTGCATATGGCTAAGCTTTGTTCTGCTGGTGTACATTGGGTTCTGGCATGTTATAGAGGATAATGTGATGAGTTTTCATAGTTGTGAGTGTTTGTTTATGTTTAGGGTACAGGTATAGGACTGTGTTAACCAAGTGGGTGGGTATTCTGTATCTACAGACAAGTGGACCCACCCACTTAGCAAACAATCTCAGACTCTGCTCTTTGGGAAAGGGCAGTATCCTGAGAACAAGCTTTATCGTTTTATTGCTGCTCTGGCACTCTTCTGGGTGGGGACCAAAACAAGCATGCTTTATCAGATGACCGCTGTGCTGGCTATATTAGACTGGAGTTAGAGAGCTTTAAGGAGGCAGCATAACAAAACATGTACTTTTCCAAGCCAGGGAGTGATTAAAAAAACAAACATTTTTAGGTAAATGAGAGACACGAAACCACTAATTAGGTGCAGGGATAATGGGGGCTGAGTACCACCTGTCAAATGACCACTTTAGTCCCATGTGTGTCTGTGAGAGCTGTTTGCTTTTGAAGGAGCGTGCTGACTCACCTACATCTAGATACTTTATTCCTGC